AATATATATATAGACTTTATAATGTATGAATTCTGTGTACATACAGAACTTCGTATTGTATGACGTAATATGATTCTATATGGTGGCGATTTTACCTTTCAATTTGGTATGATTTAATATTGAATTACTCTTTACTAGTGAGTTCAATAATATCCATGCAATTTCCAGTTTCTCCATATTCTAGATTTGTAATCTTGTATAATATCGTTTAATAAAACTTAACCTGTGATAGATAATATTTCAGTAATGTTTGAGCGTTTTGTTTGAAGATTTCCTTTTGATTTTATTCTTAATTTGTTCGAGACCTATGACTTGGACGTTGAATCTGCTGGTACTTCTTTGCAGAGCACTTAAGGTTGAGTTATTTACAAAGATTTACCGAACTTCTAGCGTCGATAAATCGTGGATATTCGTGGAAATTTATATTGTTTAGAGAAATGGAACATAAACAAAAAATGACTACTTTACTTTGTGTATTTTGTACATTTCTACATATTTTGGGAATTTCACACATTTAAAGTCTAGTCACAGTCTAACGATCAGTTAATCTACCGATTGTAACTATAAAAGTCGCTAGGTTGGACACATTGTTTGTGGAATGAAGTATCTAGTGCGCAAGATAGTCAAACTTTTAGAATCTTCGCTTCGATGTGCGGATTCTTCCGTTTCTGGAGGAAAATGCAGTGTGTCGATCGATCTGTGATGAATCTACACGTACAGTTACGGTACAATATAGTTGTAATAGTAACGAAATACCAGATTGCATTGTCTTGAACGTCGCGGGAGTTTCGAGTTTAAAAATTCTGCAATGCCCGGCCGTAAAAGCCTCGAATCTAATAAAATACTCATTTATCCTAAAATGAATCGATTCGTAGAAATTCAAATTATAATTTCAGAAACCATTCGGTCCGATTCTTCAAAATCTTTTTCGAAATTTTCTTATAAAATAAACAGCTTCGTATCGCTGATTGTGAAACGTTTAACTATGAAAAACTGTCGATCGTATTGAGCGATTCCCTGGTATTTAAACACTAACAATGTAAATTTCATTCGTTCCATCGAGATGGAGGTCCATTTAGCGATCCACGGGGAAACCGAATCCGTGTAAACAATCAAGTGAAACCAAAGGAAGCGGAGAATCTGGAGCAGTGTAGCGCTTCGCACAACAAGACCGGAGACTCGTGCGTCACAGCTAGGAAGCCCTTTAAGTGCAAACAGGAAGATCCTAAATATGCAACCCTCATACCCTTTATGGTGCGAGCGCCAGTGCATTCTCGCGCCTTGTGAAACGAGATTGCGTCTCGGAAATGTTTCGGAATGTTGGTTGGTCTCCGTTTGCTAAATACATATGGACGCCGGAAATAAGGGTATCCGTTTGCGAATACATGGCTGGGTATCGTTGTATCCTCAAGAATCTACTGCCCCAGAAGAACATTTATTCATGGAATGATATTTTATGTTCAAAGCGATTCGCTTGATCTACGACTGGATCTCCTTCGTTGCAACGACGAAAATAGTCGTGTTAACTGTGCAAACGTGCTTTCGATTTATATGCTAATAAACACCACATACATAATTATAGCTGTAATATCGTTGGTCGTAGGCTCGCTCGATCGGCCACTGTGAATATGATTGGAAACATTCTTTCAAGTTTCCACGATCGTCCTTATTCGTATTTTGTAGTTTCTTGGACCCTTTGTTTCTCTGCTACGTATTTGTTATTTTATTTGTTAAATCACTGTGTCGTGAAAATTAATCTGATATAACTATTTTCTTTAATGACGTAAGAAGCATATTTGTTTATTCAACTCCTTTTACGATTGGAAGTACAAGGAAAGTATAAGGAAATGAAAGTATTCTACTTGGCTTGAAATATCGTTTTAAATTTCAAACAAGGTTTCTTCGACCGTTCCACGAAGAAATATATTTTGAACTGTGTGAATCGTGTAAAATGTGAATTATAAACAAAGCGATAAGAATACGCGATTCAAGTAATTTGACGTTGGAATCTTTTACGGATAAATACCCGAAGGACTTTTGGTATGGCACGAGACCGAAGGTTCCTTCGTTCGGTGACTATTATCGATTATCGATTTCGATCTAAGGACTTCAGCGAGACGCACGAGCCGAGTCAGTCCGCAACCAGCCGCCAGCTGATTCGACTAGAATCGAGGAACGAAGTGCAGTTTCAAAGAACAGTTGCACAGAGCCAGTTAACATTTTATTAATTCATATAAAGTAGTTCACTGTATAGTTTTGCCTTGTCGCGTGTTCACTTGATACGGACTTTTATTGGATCATAATATAATAAAGAAATTCAAGGCTTGGCTTGTATCGGTATAATCTTAAATGCCTGGAATATCCGGCCAACATCGAAACTTACTTGGAAACCTACTTTCTTACGAGTTGGGAAATTATCGAGCGAATTGATTTTGAAGAATTGACAACAAGTTGAAGATCGATGTGAAACGCGAGGTGTGCTGAATAACACAATTTAAGAAGTTCAGGTTGGAAAGGAAATTAGGATTTATACAATAACGTTAAATATCGTAAAGGTTAATCCTTGATATTATCCATTTAAAATTCAGAATCCTTCTTAATACTCTTAAATTTTGCGCTTGCATATCTGCGAATTTTTAAACTCTTTTCAAGTTGTATTAAGCACTAATATTTATGCAGTAACTACTAAAAGTTCCCGGCCAGAATGTGGCTCTACTTCAGCTTAAATTATGCAAAACCTGCAAAACTCTTTGTGATATTTTATAAGATTACACCAGTGTGATAGATTTTCATTTTTAGAAATTCTTTATCTCAACGATATAGTGAAATTATACTTCGCGCAGCCACTCTACCGTAACGTTACTTTCATTCTTTCATTATATATCAACATATAATACAGAAGTTCATCAATGTAATACCAACACTTTCGTTACTATATTCTATTATACGAACTCACTATTTATCTCCATAGAACTTTGGCTTCTCAGATTGGAATAACAATTCTTCACTTCGAATCTGCGTCACATATTACACCGCTTCGTAGCAAGATCAGTTGGATCAAGATCGTCCATCGACGTCTCATAAAATTCGCAGTAAAATCTGCGTACGAACGTGCAACTGACACTTCCGAGTTCTTTGGTTGATCCAGAGCCAAGGAGATGACAGGATACGCCTCCAGGCGAGCAGGATCCTTGACACCTGGAACGAGGCCAATCTCCGGTCCGCCAGAAGCGTCGAACTTATGCCGTCGGCAGAGTTTCAAAATTATTACTCGACCGCGTCAGCAGCTACCGTGTTTGTTTTCGTCCTGATGCTGGTACCCTGTCTCACCTATTTTCCATCCTCGTTCGTTCTTCGCCCTCAATTTTCTCTTTCAGTCGCCTTTCACGCTTTCTTTCTTGGTCTTTGGGCTGTTTCATCTTTCTTCGCGTTTCTTCGTCACTGGAATCGAAGCGTTTGCGATGAAAAGCGGCAATTTAAATATTTAAGTTATATTTGTTGAAAGAGAAAGAAACTACCTATAGATTTCACGCAAGGATCACAGAAGACAAAACTGATCGTCTGATTTTAATATCACTTTATGGTTAAGTAGAAGAATTTTAACACTAAATGTATAACAAGATAAAATTGAAAACGAAGACACCTGTTATATTCAGAGATGACAAATTTCTCAAAATAATTGAGAAGTTAAGTCGATGATGAAGTTTTGTAGAAGCCAAGGACGCGATTACCGAGACAAACGATATTTTCCAAATTTTTGAAGGGAATGAAAAAACGCGTTTAGTTAATAAATAAAACAGGCAATTGCGGTAACGTGGAATCGATCGACAACGTATTGAAGTATCTTCCCTATAAAAAATAGAAAATGTGATTTATGTTCTTCTCCTATAGCGTTTAATAGTAGCAAATGGCTTGATTTTGGAGCGATGGTTGATCTTCAGTTGATTTTATTGCATTTTGAGTTGCTTCTTGCAACACCACCTACTTCGATCGTGCACGACGAGCATTTCCACTGCAGCAGATAAAGTATTCGATGATCAATGGTCATGGAAGAAAACGCGTGGTATAGAGAGTTGGGAAGTTTCACAGGGTACTTTCATTAGAAGCGAAACACGTGGCGCGAGGAACACCGGCGACACAGCAAGAAAAGCAGCGAGCAAGAGAGAAATTGTACACCGGTTGCGGTGAATGGACGAAGCAGAGCGAATAGATGTATGGAGTGTTTTCTACAATCCGATTATCTTGGTCGACTTAAGCGGATTTCCGTGAAAACTTCGCCACGGCTGCGCCGTCAAATCCTCTGTAGTTATAAACGGGAAGACTGCTGCGCCCATTGTTTTCCGATTTCTCGAGTGGTCAGCTGATGGTAGGGTATTGACAGAAACAACTAGATGAATCGCATACCGAAGATAAGGTTTTGTATTTATGTCGAGAGAGATTTTACTGGAACGTAAGCGCATATCGTTTCGCTGATACTTAGTTTGTTGCTCGTTTATTGTAAAATCCAGTGATAATGTCTGCCAATAACAATGGTGAATCTTTAATGGACTTTGAAGGTATAATAAACTTTAATAACACGTAAATGTAATTGTCTAATTACAATCATGGCTTACTGTTTTCTACGATGCTTCATTACGAGTTCCGGTCGGAAATAGTAGCGACTTTGTCTTTAATATCTTGTTGGAGAATTCTATTGAACGTTGGTCGTTATCATCGCGAATTGTTTGCTATAGGAATTATGCGTATTATATTTTCAAAACATCTATAAAAAGATCTTTTTAATAAATCAACATTTAAAACATAAAAACATTTCTAATAATCCATCTTATCTTTGTATATTTCTCTGTATTCTTATTTGTAATGTATAATATAGATAATATTGATAGAAGGAAATGTAATTTATACGTTTTTATATTCTTAAGATATAAAATTAATTATCACATAACATCTGAAATCATTATCAAAGCACGTTTTAATTCAGCCCATTTCCGTATTTTCAGGTTGAACTACTTGATGTCGGGATTAACGCCAAGCTGGTATCACGCGACTAATATTGCCCTGCACGCCATTGCATGCGTTTTGGTCACAAGGGTGAGCCTAGCGGTGGCATCACTGCGTCCAGGATTTGCTGCCTTGACAGGCTTGCTGTTTGCTGCTCATCCTGTACACACTGAAGCGGTAAGTAATAGCTTCAAATAGACACGATGAAAGCTTACAACTATCACGTGCTGAATCCTGAAGAAACGAAATCGCCTGAACACTTTGCGTATTTTTCTTTCTTCCGAGGATATTAATATAAAATAACAAGCGATCGTATAAACAGAGAAAACAGTTTGCACGATTTATCTTTATAGTAGAAGAACGAATTTCAAAAATATATCGTTAAGAATAATTGCAAAATTATCTAATCCAACGTTAGAAAAATATATTGGTATAAAAAATTGTGCAAACTAACGTTCCAACTGTGAATTTTTGAAAAAGTAATAATCTCATAGATCGGATAATGCGAGGGAAAGCAGTTTTATTAACCGTGAAACATATGACGTGAAATATATTCTACGAAGACCCAGGCGAAGCTGGTACATCAGTAACAGTGTCCTAATTATAATGCTGTTCCTAGTTTTATCATCGTCAGCTTCGCAGTGTGCAATAATTCGAAGAGATTAACGTAAAAACTAATTAAAAATTTTCGCCTAGTTTAGAACTTGTCTTAAGCCGCTTAGGGATACGAAAGTGATTGGCAGCAAGTCCTCTTGTACTTCTCGTTGTATCTTGCGCATGATGCACAACAACAATAAACGTCAGTGATAATGTTTGTGTACGTAATCTGCTTCGGTTAAGCGCATAATAGCGATATTGTGCTCATTATTATCTTCGATTATCTGTTATTTCAGAGGATGTACGTTTAAAAACGACGTGTGAAGAGTGTACGCTATTCTATGGAACGCTATTGACAATGATCAACGATCCTTTCGCATATGATTTTCGATCCAATTGTATCTTTTTAAAATATCTCCAAAATTCTTACTAATATGTACGATTACGCCTTCCGATCTTATGTTACATATTTTTTGAAAACATTATAGATCTTCTATGTTTGTTGAAATGAAAATAAGAATAAAACATGAAATTGGAAGACGTCAACGAGGTAAAATATTATCTACAGAACATTTGCAATTTTTCTAATGAAATCGAAGAATCATAATTTACAAGCGAAAACGGGAAACAAACATCGATCAAGTTTTTCTGCAGAGGCTTTGTTACAAAGTTGTAAGCAAACATCGAGCGGATATTGAAATACGATTCTATTGTATAGTATTGTATTGTATAGTAACAGATGCCGCGTTTCTACGTAACAAAACTTTCTACAATATCTTTTTCGAATTTTCAAATTATAAATTTACTTCTGTCGTTTGACCAGATCTGAAACCATTGAGCATAAACCGTACATATAGAAAATTACAATTTCTTTCTTTTCAATCTAACTGCATCCTATTCGCAAGTTTGCCACGAATGTTTCTTCTAGCGCATGTTATTGATTATTCGAAAGCAAAATGATCACTAGTCACGAATCTATTTTTCACTTGTCGCGATCAAGATCTGCGTAGCAATAATTTCAAATGCAACGTTTAAATTTGCATTTTATAAACGTCAAAACTCCCAATTACCAGGGGAAACTTGTACGAAAAAGAAAAAGAAACACAGAAATTAACGCACTGTTATTTGAAGTAATGAAACTCACGCAGAAGCCGCGATAAGAAACGTCGTTCGTTGTTCGTTAAAAGTTTCTTACGAATGGTCATTAACGTAAGACGCAGGCTTTCGAGTGAAAATTACCGCCTGTGCGGCATATTGATTTTCAAGGCTGAATTGTCTATGCTCCAGTCCGTTTGCTGGTCACGCACTGTTCTGCACCCCGTTATATCACATGCGTGCACATATTGTCGCATGTGTGACGAGTCGCGTGTGAACAACGACCCTTTGTCGTCCGTGCTGTTATCGCGATGTTATGGTCGTATCACGTTCTCGGATAAAGAAATCGGACATAGACGCGTAACTTGCGATGCCGTTGAATTGTACCGCCGTGCTGATTGGCTTTAAGATAAGGTTAATCGCGCCGTTTCAAATTCGTGAGTGACTTTATGAGCCTTGTCTAATGCGCCACCAATGTCATTTCGGACGTGAAAAATGTGAAAGTGACGCGAAAAGTCGTGTAAAATTGTTTATTGAATCAGTTAGCAGTTCGGACATAAATATTGAAAATACCCATTGGAGATTCACAGGATTGGATCTACGTTAATTCTCCGATGTGAAGAGAAAGCAAGGTAAAAAGGACGGAGAGAAAGGACGAGGCATTTGAAGAAACGGTGCATTGAAATATTTAAATAATTCGTCGGATGATCAATGAAAATATTATTTAATAAGTATCTTCCGCGCTAATTAGAACGAAAATTCACGTTTTAAGAGATAAACTGGTATCCATCGCGCTCATAATTGAACATCCTCGTCGTAATGATCTATAGTGGAGGAAGATACAGTGGTCGAACGACAAATCTTGAAAGCAAACATTCTATTCGGTGGCAGAAGGGGGTGGGTTGATCGCTGGTAATGCCACCGGCGATATTTTGCTTTCTATGCTATCCAATCGGAATTACAGCTGCCATCGGTTCTATTCGATTCGCTCGGTAAGCCTCATCATATTGCTATTCAGCCGCTATTCCGACAACAGACGCGGAATCCCTTTGTTTGTCCTTGTAGGCGTTGTTTACCAAAATCATTAAATCCGGTCCTGGATTGAATCCTTGATCGAACAACGCCGTGGGTGAGCGTTAATCAAGTTGTACGAGCAAGCCATCGAAAGGCCTGGCTTGCCAAAGACACGGAGTCTTTTGATCGTGCTTGAACGATCGTTTATCGCGGCGTGAAATGGCATCAGGCGTTCTTTGTGCAGATTTCCGTCGGTTCCGCTGGAATCGTGACACGTCATTTCGCGACTCGTGCGTCACGATTCATCTCTTCGCGTGTTATTCACGCGTACATGTGGAAGCGTGTGGCGCGCGCACGCGTCAATGACGGGGACAACGAGACGTGTCCTCCTTGTCAAATCAGTTTGCGCGGTCCGTCCGCTGTTTGCCGAAATGATCAAGCGGTGAAAGCACGGCCGGTTTCTGGCTGTCGGATCAAGCCCTCGACCGAACGTTGAAAGGTAGCGCGTTAATTAAGTACAACAGCACCGAAGCGGCTGTTTCCAGTGTAAACCCTGACGAACAAAGGATGAACCGGTACGGAAGAGGGACGAGAGAGCCGGCTATGAAGAGGGTCACCGACCGTTCCTGGACTTGGTCGCGCGTTCAGGCTATGCGCGAATTTCCGCGATCGATCGATTATCACGCCTGTCGGTTCTGCTATATAGGTCAACCTTTCGGGTCTGCTCCCACTTGGTGAATTGATTGCTAAAGTACCTGGAAGGAAACTGACTGAACGTATCGACGCGGAAGCGAGTCTGTTCCGTTTCCTACGAATACTTCGCGGAGTCCAACTGTCTGCTGTTTGAGCTAGTACGCTTCTCCGCAGGAAATATTAAGTCCTACCGAATCGGTACAATTTCTGCGCCTGACATATTCTAGTTTACCCTAGTACCGACTTTATTACATTTTTCCGACACGCAAGCATTTGAAATTTATAATTTCTAAAATTTTATTTTAGAAGGAATTCTAGTCGAGGGATATGTTCTTCGAAATATTGTTCGAAATCTAATTGTTGCGAGGCTGATCGTATTCTGAATCTTATACGTCGGATATCCTTTTATTCGGTTTAATTCATACAGTATATTTTAGTTATCCGTCGCGAAGTTATTTGAGTTACCACGTGATAGCAGATTACGAGATACACTCATCTTAGAAGATCCCAGCTTATCCACGCTTTCCTTAAGTGGATCCCGTTGTTAGTCGTACAACGTTCCGTCCATTCCTGTACCAATATCTTAGCTTATATACCTAAGTCACGCGGTCTTGGTTCAAAGCATGACTCTCAATCGCGTAACAGTTTCTTGCACGAATTCCTCCCTTTTCTCAGCCGTTTCTCCCCTCGTGTAGTTTTCCCACATGTGTGAATCCCAATTTGACTGGATATAGCGTTTGTCTGCTGAATCGAACTTATCTTTAGAACGATTGTTTCGCGTGTTGTGGAATGCACACGAGTAGAACAGCGAAGTTTTATCACGAAGCAAATTTTATCGACATATCTTATTTAACAGCAAATTGAATTGCTATTTACGAACCAGACATCCAGACGGATATTGTACGTTGTTAATTGTTAAAGCTATTTCTCGAATGAATAACCAAAATGAAATCCACCTAGGAGATTGAATAAATAATTACGGAAGTTATAAAAAGCTAACTTATAACGTCAGATCGCGAAAGATTATATTATAATGTCAAATCGAAAAAGATTACATTTTAAACATTCACTAAGATATATTTACAGGTCTTCGTTACGTTTACTTAATTATAACGTCGTATGTACGTTTCTAAAGTATGAAATATCTGTCCACCGATGAAACGTTAATTACGTTTGCGTAACTGAGGAAAACTAAAATTAGATTGGAAGGAAACTCGAAATATTTCCCTAATTGCCAAACGTACGTGGCTCTTCAGCTTTCAGTCAGCGTTTGTAATCAAAGGCACATCTCTGATTTGTGTCTGGCAGAGCATAAGAGACCGTCCTACACATATAAGGTGTCTTCGCCTCAGGAGTTTCGTATTGACGATAAACACTGGCTATTAAAGCCGGCACCATCGATCGATGTGCTTCCTTTAAGCCCCTTTTCGTTCGTAGGAACGCTGCCTTTGAATTAGCTTGTTTTCTGCTCTACTAACTCTAGTCGTATCGAAAGTAGCGTCAAATGACGCTTGTTTATGTCGCGAAATTTCAACGATTTCTCCTGCTGCAACTCCGTAGATCATCCAAATATTTCTGCTTTTATGCCTATTCCAAAATGCAAGTTACACGCGTGTATGCAAATTATTACGACTATTGAAAAATAGAAAATAATGTTCGTATGCCAGTTCAAAAGCAATCGATACAAAATTTATTAACATTTCCGAATTCAAGTTCTAATAGAGCTGTGTTGGAGCAATTCCCTTTATCGTATCTTTGTCTGCAGGGTGGTTGGTAACTGGTGCTACATGCGGAAAGGGCGTGATTCTACGCGAAAAAAAGTCGAAAATATAGAATAAAAATTTTTTCTTTAATTTCTTTTTTCAATTTTTCCATCGAGACAACGATCTACAGTGAGATCCGTTGTAACGCACCGCACGCGTACCGAACGAAAATTCAAAGTCGATTTTCTCGAAAACAAAGCCTCGAACGAAAAATTTTTATTCTATATTTCCGACTTCTTTTTTCGCGTAGAGTCACCCCCTTTCCGCTTGTACCACCAGTTACCAACCGCCCTGTATATTCTACCAGGTTTGTCTCGCGTATTTCCAAACTGATATCCTCGCAAAATGGCAAACAGGTTTTAACGTATACTTTTCTTTCTCAAAAATGTTACCAACCATTTTTGAATATTCAACGATACTATTTATCTTCGTCGCTTTCCATTGTGTTTCTTGCTCCGAACATCTTCATCGTTTATTTATACAGAAATTAGACACGTGGAAGAACCGATTTTTCGTTATTCTGCTTCTGGCTTTTCCGTAGATTTCAGAGTAGTTAGCTTTTTCTTAGGTGTTTTACGATTCGCTTCCTGGTGACTTTCTTCGAATTTTCTTCCCGCTGCGTTCGACTTTTTTACGTTGCTTCTGGCTATCAACTTTTCCGTATTATAAATTGCACGCGAAATTGAATGCATCGATTTTCCTAAAGTATATGTCCTACTTTCGGATATTTTTGTCGGATGGAAGCCATATAAAACTTCGAGTGACTCGTGGAAATATTTTCTTTCGCAGCAATGGGAAATTCTATGACAATTAGTTTCTCCAGTGTCACAATAAATAAACCTGCTTTGGATGCTAATTTAAAAGGTATCGGCCAAGGTATCGAATGAAAGTTTGTCGATTCCCTAACTTTTACTTAACATATACTTCTGTTGTTATGTTATGTACATTGTCTGAATGTTATGTACATTGCATGAAATGATAGAATTAAAGATAAACGTAGACTCTAGAGAAAACGGCCCCGGTGATCTTAACCTTGACGTATGTTGTCAAGATCAAGGTCATCGGAGCTGCGTCCCCTAAAATTAACGATTACCTTGAAACGTGAAAAAGTGAACACGACACGATCCTTGACTCTGCTGTGATCGACTTAGGACCATAAAATTAAAAAGACAAGCGACGCGTATCCTACCAGGTTTGTCTCGCGTATTTCCAAACTGATATCCTCGCAAAATGGCAAACAGGTTTTAACGTATACTTTTCTTTCTCAAAAATGTTACCAACCATTTTTGAATATTCAACGATACTATTTATCTTCGTCGCTTTCCATTGTGTTTCTTGCTCCGAACATCTTCATCGTTTATTTATACAGAAATTAGACACGTGGAAGAACCGATTTTTCGTTATTCTGCTTCTGGCTTTTCCGTAGATTTCAGAGTAGTTAGCTTTTTCTTAGGTGTTTTACGATTCGCTTCCTGGTGACTTTCTTCGAATTTTCTTCCCGCTGCGTTCGACTTTTTTACGTTGCTTCTGGCTATCAACTTTTCCGTATTATAAATTGCACGCGAAATTGAATGCATCGATTTTCCTAAAGTATATGTCCTACTTTCGGATATTTTTGTCGGATGGAAGCCATATAAAACTTCGAGTGACTCGTGGAAATATTTTCTTTCGCAGCAATGGGAAATTCTATGACAATTAGTTTCTCCAGTGTCACAATAAATAAACCTGCTTTGGATGCTAATTTAAAAGGTATCGGCCAAGGTATCGAATGAAAGTTTGTCGATTCCCTAACTTTTACTTAACATATACTTCTGTTGTTATGTTATGTACATTGTCTGAATGTTATGTACATTGCATGAAATGATAGAATTAAAGATAAACGTAGACTCTAGAGAAAACGGCCCCGGTGATCTTAACCTTGACGTATGTTGTCAAGATCAAGGTCATCGGAGCTGCGTCCCCTAAAATTAACGATTACCTTGAAACGTGAAAAAGTGAACACGACACGATCCTTGACTCTGCTGTGATCGACTTAGGACCATAAAATTAAAAAGACAAGCGACGCGTATCGATAACGATTCTTCTATACCTCGTTTCATTGTAAGAAAATTTTTACTGGTCAAAAAATACATTACGATACTAGTTAAAGAATGACCCAGGTGAAACGATCCAAATTCTCAAGCTTCCAAAACGTTCTACTTTCATCGCTGTCGCAACTACGCGAAAAACAAACAATAGAGGAGGTTAAAACAATAAACGCATTTCGTTTTGTAGCGGTGAAATTGTCGGTTGGGAATGGTTTCACAGTAGGTGGCGCGCGAAAGTGTGATTCAGAGGCTTCTATTCTTCTCGAAGAAAACTCGGAACGTGGAGTGCGGCGTGTATTCCGTCTTTCCGCGGAGTTATACGCGTTCCAGTGAAATCATTCGTGAAATCGTAGTCGTCCTTCGTTCCGCCGGAACACAGGGCTCTTCTATTTTCCTGAAAGCAATCCGTTCTGGTCGACGATGGTGTCGGAGTAGGCAGATGGAAATTAAAGGGACCGACGAGACCGTGTAGGTGTTGCTTCCAGGATATTCTCGCGCAGGATCGACGGTCCGCGTTTCCAGGTTAATGTCGACCGAGGAGAAGACGTTTTTCTTCCTTTTTCCTCTCTTGCTTCTTCCTACTCCTATACCGAAGGTCGTTCGAGATTCGGATGGCACCAACAAGAAATTTTAGAACTTCCATGCATCATCGAGCGAGAGTATCCGGTAAGAGCTGGGCTACATGGGTTAAAAGGAACTTTTAGCGATAGAAGAAACGGTCGAAGGGAGGTTGCTCGAAGTGAAGTCGAACTTAAAGTAGGCCGCGTCGATATATACGAGTATGTACATACGAGAGTAACATAGCGCGTCTGTCCGATTTAGAAATGCGTCTGACGAATCGGAAATATTATAACTCGTAACCAGTATGCTGGTCATTTTATCGCGTAGACGATAGATCGAGCAATCACGCGATAATTAAAAATATAAGGAAGATAGTATCGTTCGAATCGTTCTAATTGTTGCAGAATTTATCCCACTTCTCGAAACCAGCCTAATTAAAAGAAGAAAAAAAGAAACTGCAATCTAATAACGATAAATTATATAAATAATAAAAAAATAATAATTTAATATTTCTATAGCGTTCTAATATCTCTACTTTATCGTATCGACAAAATAACATTTCTGCACTTTGACGTTTCATTCAATTTGAAATTTCGTTTAAGAGATTGCGAAAACAGAGGAAGAAACGCAAACAGAAAGAAGCATACGCGTCCCTCCTTCTATTTATCTCTGGAGATATACGTAAAGACTGGCCAAGCTATTTTCTTCTAACCTTTTTAATCCTCTTTGGCCTCTAGTGATTCTCGCGAAATTGTTCAGCGAACGGAAAACACCGTTCCATTTCTCGCCATTAGATACGGTTTGCCAGGGTAATCGCGAATTGCTACGGACATACCATTATTTCCTATGTATGCATGGCTACGTTCTTATTCGTGTTTAGCGAATAGTCGTACGAACTACGGCTCCCACACGATATTTCAATGCTCGATAAGGATAATGGGAAGTTCCTCTGAATTAACGGAGGACTTGCCGGGTCGACGCGCATTAACGAAGTAATTTACGAATACTTCTGGGTAACCGTGGGTTATCCAGCACATATGTCTTCGGCAACCTTCCGCAGACTATTCTTTCCCTACCACTGCACCACCGATATTATTATGCTACCCTCTGCAGCTTTATCGCGGATAAAGACATTTCTATATTGGCCCAGATTATTTCTAATTTATATACGATCCATAAAGAGTTTTATCCTGATTGTTCTTTGATTTTCTCTTATTTTATGCCTGGTTAATACGTGTTTTACGAAAGTTATATAAATTGTTGAATATCCTATGATACTACACTGCTCGAAATTATTGAACGATGGTTTTTCGCGTTAGTCTGATTATTATGCCCACTCTTTGTGTTTCGACCACTCGCGGAGAGACGCGATCGCAGGAAGCACGCCAATGGGAGTCGTAAATTCCCGTTACGATTAGATAATCGACGCCACGAAATGATCGATCCCTATTTCGGTTAAGATAACAGAGGTGGTTAATTGAATATTACACTGATGTGACAAGTTATAAATCACAGTTTATTCCAACAACTTTGTAAAGAAGATGGTTACGTTGGTGTGTATATATAAGATAAATAAGTGAGTGATCTACGGGTGTAAACCCGGTCAAGGGGATGTTGACTGTTTGAAAGATGGAAAATCAGTGAAGTTCCGTGATGATGCTGTGGCGGAGGAAAGCTAAGGATGGGTGAGTCTAGCGCACGGGACCATCGGATTTGTTGATGACGATTTTGGCTAAGAGAGCGAGGGAAATAGGCTTCGTTGTTAACTGGTTATTTGCTATGGTGGTAGGTGAGGATGCTAACCGCCCTCAAGATAAAGTTGCTAGTGGGAGGCCTTATACGTGAGAAAAGGCAACTTTCTCGCGCCAACCAGTGGTGGACAATAAACTTTAGGAAACAATTCAGCGAAAGAATATCTGTTCGGTCTGAAGGACCTTGACTAGGAAATTCCTGAGATTTATGCAGGGTACTTGAGACTATGGAGGGTACGCGGTAAGGATCTGAAGACATCTAGATGCCATCTTGTCCGCGGTGTGTGGCCTGGTTTAGCTAGAGTGTCGTCCGACGTAACACTTCGCATACTTCGAATCTTCAATATCTAAACAAACGACGTTAGGAAATTATTGCCTCCACTACTGTCATTGTAGAATTTATTTGTATTTGTAGAATTATCTTGTATCTTTCTCTTGTTCGTCTTACGTAGATTTTCTCGTAAACGAAGGCCTTGTTATTTCGTCCAACGTTTCCTCACAGCGGTAGGCAAAGGAAGATATAATTCTACCAAATGTCCAAACTGGACAAATTGTGAATGTAAACAATTAAGTAAAAAAAAGGAAGATATATGGGTATTTGTATTAGATTGTTATTAACATCTGAGGAAGACATGGACTTAGGTGTCATCACGTGGACAGTTAAATATACACAACTATGGTCGTCTCGTCCTTAATTTGCAGAACGATCGTCTTTCTTTCCTCGTCGCATTCGAATATCATTTCGATCACGATACTCGATTGTTCCGACTAATTTATTATCTCGTCACTCGCTTAATTGATTGAGAACTCGATAATTGAAGCTGCGAGTCACAGAACTTTCTGGAGAATACGCCATGGAGCACAGACGAGCCTCTTTGAGGCGAGATTGGATTCCACGTAGAGTGTCCCAGTTGGATTTCTCTGTTGAGGGGAGGAAACCAAGGTATCACATGTGCTGGCAATAGCGTTCAGTATCACTAACATCTATTACACTTGCTTGTGATCCATATTGTTCTACGGCATTGAATTGCAATTAATAAGCGAAAATATGGCAGATAGGATAGATTGAGGCTAGAATTATCAATCTCTAATATCTAGAAATGAATAATTATAATAAACGTCGTAATGAAAACAAATAGATATGTAGGCATTAGGTCTTCTTCAAAAGTTTCTTTCGTTTTATAAAGAAATAATGGATGCACAACATTTTTCGTTTTATATTATTTAATCGAATTATACGTATGATCCATTATGTTCTATCAAGATGAAGATTACAACGTTCGAGAGATTAGGTTTCATGTTTGTATAAGGATGCGTCGTTGTAAAAGACGTGTCTGTAAAACAGACACTTTTCGAACAACCTAATATAAATACGATTATCTGTGTATTTCAGTGAAGTTAACTGATAATTGTAAGAGCAAAAGACCCGAAACACGTTAGTCTCGTAGGGTCGGTAATTCTAATTTTAATCATATGTTTAATAATTATCGGGTCAGAATCGTATTCGACGTGTTCGTTGGCCATTATTAATACGGCACGCGAGGACTTTTACTATTTTTCTTAGACTCATTGCATCTACCTGCGCCTTGTTTTTAACCCCATGCCTCCTAAATTGCCTAGTAGTATTTTATCTATGATCGTTGTCTATTCACCGTTAACACATCGTATCAAATGCAAAATATTTGGATATGTCCGGTGTAAGGCAAAGGAATTCGTAAATACGAATCTGACACGATACTAGAAAGTATCGGTTATCGTTAGTGTTCTCAAATTTTTGTCTCTGTCTTACCCTTGAGCTTACCACCTTCTATAGGAAAAGGCCAAACCCTTGTTCCCCGGATATCCATCCCAAAAGTCTTTAACTCATCTAACTTTAAACTTACGAACTTCTCCCTAAAGCTCACAAACTTCGATATCACCGATTCATCCACGTGATTCGATCATCGTTACGCACCGCTCAGTGAAAAAGAAGCTTTCTCGTGCTTTCCAAATGAAACAAAGTCGCTCGATTATTCCAGGGTTGCGCTCGTTACGATGTGGCGTTTCCATGAAACTTGCTCGGTCCCGTTTTATACAGCGCTCGCCGGAATTGCCGTGTATCGATGTCGATCAAACGGTAACAAGGTCGATTGAAGCTTCCTTTAACGCGCATTATTAATGAGCGATCGCTACGAAACGCCGTGCTGCGTCATCGGTAACCTAGATACTCTCGCAGGAGAACGTAATTTGGATCATTACGGAATTATGTTAATTAAGAACGAGCTGGACGATTGGTGGCGCGATATTAAGGGGTTCCCGGAGACATATTCGTTATCTCGTGGGTCATCGATTCTCCGGTGTTCCCGCGGGACCGCGACTTTGGTCCGTTGGCAAGCACAGCGGCGACCTGGGGTTAACAGCGTGAGTTTAAAAGTGATTTATCTCTGATTTATGGAGGAAGAAGACGGCGCCGGAAGCCGAAAGTTTCTCGGCTCCTCGGCGGCCAGGCGGAAAGAATTATCGTTTGGGCACAATGGACAGTTGGCGATATCGTTTACACGTCGAATCCTACGACCGTTTGTTCCGCGGGTGGATCCTACCGAGGATAGGACAATGGCAGTTCCTTCGTTCATCGAGAAAAAGATCTCGCGTGTTCTGCGATCTATGCGGTTTGATTCGAGTCAGGAATAATGCCGATTGAAAGGAGACGACGACGCCCTTAAATCTTGGATAGATAGCTGGCGAACAATATGGCCCGTGTTGATTCATGTTTGCACTTACTCACTTTAATTTTCGAGTCTACTTTTTTGTGACTTTAGGACGTAGTAAACGATTAGATGGCAATTTGACGATTTTATACGTACATTTGCTAGTTTTTTTGGGAAGTTATTTATCGCTAATATTAGTTTTTACGTATTATCGTGCTGTACAATCTTACCTGTGACTTTTATTGAAATCTTTTATCTAGCTTAGAATTTTGTGTAATTTTGTAATTATCGGAATATTTTTAACGATATAAACGTTTGATTTATGATCGGAGTTCCTTCTGAACCTTGTTGATCATTTTTTAGAGAAATATATGACCAGGTTATTCTTTTATAATTCTACCTTTATGTACAAGATTTCATAAAGATATTTCCATCGTGTCTTAAAACGAAGGCTAATTTATCGTAATACCAGGAGATGCTTGAGCAACATTAGAGCATCAGTTGTATTTCAACGATATATAGTTTACTTGTTTATGACAATTGCGTATTAGTTAATTGGTTTTCCTAAATGTCTGAGAAGGAATCCATTGCCTGATTTCGTTTATATAACTGAATATTCGAAAGTAATTAAGTTAAGTGGTTGTTATTGAAACAGACAGTTTGAAACTTTCTTTCGAGAATTCGTATTCGGATAATTTAACGAATAGAACTTCCTGTACATAAATTCAATGATATTTACTCGAATAATATCAGTCTTCTGCCTTGACTATATTATATTACGCATTATTGCCAGACAGATCGAAAGGAAAAGGCATTATTTGTATATAATAAAATTAATAGCACTCGCATCAATCTCATACTTGTATTTTATGTTTCATAATATTAATTTACAAAATTCTGCAAAATATCCCCAATTAATACGCTTCACATCGAAAGCACCGTCAACTTAAATATTAAAAGTTTGGTATGTCTTTTAAATATCTCTCTCTCTCTCTCTTCCGAGATATTTTCATGATTAATAACGTTAGTAAATATATAGCCAAATAAAGTTGGATTTTCAAATAAGTAGGTTCAAATAAGTAGGTATTTACAAATTATTATGTTATTTTAGCACGCTTATATATGACCAATTACACAAGCAGTTTGCTAATTGCCTGTAGATATTTATATATTTATGGGAAATTTAAACACGCAAATATAAATTTTACTCTATAAAATATCAAATAATTTACACATTATGGAATATTGTTACACCATTCGGGGAGTGAAAGAAACTCTATGGAGCTTCTATTTCTCGAGTCGTGTTAAAAATGAATTTGAATAAAGACTGGTTTCGTCCAAATATCGATCATACTTTTTGACGACACGGATACGTATCGTAGCACGGACTTATTACCATCAGGTACAGTAACACGCCATTAAATTTATGTTGTCAAAACCTTGCGTTACATTATTTTTCTCGGCTCGCCATCTGTATATTTTTAAAGAACATACTCGTAATAATAGATATTAATCTCTAGAAAAATATAGAAACGTTTAACGAAAATTTGGTGTGTTCTTAATTAATTTATTCGCAATCATATAATTATATAATATTATACGACACGTAGAACATCCCTGGCTAAAATCACCGAAAAACAACAAACCTACTTCGCTTTATTAATATATCGAATAAAACGACAAACAGTCCAAACATTTGGTATTTGCCATACGTTTATTCGCAAAAGTAATTATTCGATTATCGAAAGAAAATACTTCGAAAATATTGAAAGCAAACATTTTACGTTAAATCTGGCAGACGAATGATTTCGTTATTGGCAGGTGCGATTCTGTATTGAATAAAACGCAAACGTGATATCAAACGATAAGGCGTGGCGCAAGGTACAGCAGGTTGTTCGTTGTAAATTGCCAATCCGAATAAGGCAACTCTGTTTAAACAGCTGCGCGTCTCTTCAACCGATCAATAATGACTTGCTCGAGGAAAATCTTTTTCGGCAGTGGAATATTATATTCCGTATGGCATGGTGTCCCGATGTCGATTCAAAGGGAGGAAGGTCGCCGTGCAAACGAAAAGAAGCGACGTCCATCCACGAGAAACGAGTTTAGGTACCTCTCCTCTCTTCGAAGATAGTGCGTCCTATGCACTACCTGTGCACGGATTACGTCAACGGTCTTGGATTTTGTCAGCATGAATATTTCACCTTTAGATCCCGCAAGCTCGCGCGCGAAACCCGGAAGGAAGATGCCAAAGATGAATTTTTACCGGTGACAAGGAAATGCTTCTCGATCAATTATGCATGTATCTGCAGCTGCGCACCGCGTAAATAAACGCAAATCAAATTATCTCCGGAAACGAAACGAGACACCACGATTTCGCGTTGAATTTCTCATCGGGATTGGAATTATACATCACTGTGTATTAAATACCCAAGTATGAATTTTTAATTATCCACAAGTTCTATCGATCCTTTGTTCGAGAAAAAGTTTGGCATCCGAAGATAAATTTGAAAATGCTTTTTTTTCTTTATTGGAGATGATTCTTTACCGAGAAATAACGCTGTACTTCGTGTGCGCTACCATAATTTCGCTTATGCTCGACCCTATAAAATAGAGGAGAGCGCCGAACTAATAAACTACGTTACGTTAAATCCTCCGCTAGGAAATGGGAGAAAAATAAGAAGTAGAGGAATTATTACTGAATGTTAGCGAGTCCTTAACGGAATGGCCAAATTACAGCGAGGGCAAAGAAAACTATTTGCTCTGGTAACTATTTTCGTTGGTATTCAAACCCGTTTTAGGTAGGTAATTGTCGAAATTACTCGGTTCGTTCGCGCGGAAACACAGCGGGCCGAGACCCGCGCCACCCATCGAGCCCCACACTCCACGACAGAAGTTGCGAATCCTGGTGAACGCTTTTAACAACAACCGGAAGTAGCCAGGCATCAGCTGTCTGAAGTTCCTCGCTCGAGTGTCTAGAGCCTTGATTGCGCGATTCATAACGGCGAGAATCCGACTCGTTCATCCTCTCTCTTTCTATTTTCCGTTTCCGTATATTCGTTTCTTCGTAGTTGCACACGCGCCATAATGCTTTGGCCAGTTTGCCGATTCTTGTTGCTCGCTGCGGATCGCGCTCGTTACCTGCAGCTAAAAAGTGGAATTTATACTGGCAGGAGATGATCGCGCGCGAGCACCAGCTCCATCAACTTGCCAGCAAACGATGGAAAAAGGTATTTTTCTCGAGATCACTAACTCATCCGTAACGACACTTTGGACAAATTCGCTGTTTCCTCCGAACGACTGCGGTTTAAGGTTTTTCCGAAGGCTAAGCTCGTTTCAGGACGAAACTGCCGCGAAAACGTTTCAGATCGACGTGATTCGAGTAAACCTGCAACTTTTGCGACCTCTCTTGTTAGCGAGTTGTTTCCTCCTACCAGCTTCGTTCCTCCTAAATGGGACAAGTCGAATATCTGTCCGTGGACAGAGTTTGTCGCGTAGGACATTTATTTCACAGCTACTTTTAGTTGTGCTTTATCGATGTTTTATTTATAAGCAATCGCTGTTAAGGCAGATATAGAGATCTTACGGGTTTAGAAATTAAAGAAGCTTTACCTTGGTTATTCCGTTTAGATAAACGAACAGTTAAGGCGATAAAATCTATCGACAGTTCTTTAAACAGATGGAAATTTTTTCTTTGAGTAATTTTATCGACGATTCACTTTATTCCAATGTAACAGTAAATATAATGTAGTCGAAAGCAAAATAGTTCTCCGGCATTCAGAACGTTTACTACGGATGATGTTTATTTGCTCATACGTCGTGTAATGACTGGTTTCAGATCGTTTGTCTTCGCGATACTAGAAGTACAATACCGCGTACCACGTATCGTACAAATCGCTTTATCCCATACGTCCATGTTCTATCTGAAAAATATAAATTTCCCCAAAAACGGTTCACATCAAAGGGAAACACTCGACTTTTCTTCTACTCCCCTTTAGCTCTATATCCGAACTAATACGAGTAACGCGAATAACACGAAATTATTAAGCCTGTGCTTAATCGAAACGAAAGAGCAATCCTCTGAAAAGATGGAAAATACTTTCACGTCTAATCGTACAATTCCAGTATCGTAAATCTTGATTCGGCACATGGAAAACCGTGAAAGTAATACCATTCGACTAACTGGTCTGGATGGAAAACAGGGCGATTTCGCTATTCGCTGGTCGAGATGAAAGGCTTCAATTTCGGCGGAAACTATCAAAGCGATCCCATAAGGTTACAACGCGGCATCGTTATCGTCCTTTTTGTCCGTTCCATTCGATATCGCCGTTAAAATTCGCTTTATCCCAAAGGAACCGATAGGGAAGTCGAGGTCA